ACGTTGAATATTATTTATGATTTTATGAACTAATGTTATTAGTCTTGAATCACTGGTTTCACACGTTCTATTGAACAAGCACAACAAAGTACGGAGAGAGAAACTTCTTAGAAACTACCATTCACACTGGACAAAATACTATCACATTTGTTTAATGAAACAGCATACATGCATATATATATATATATTAAACAAATATTTATTGCAAATTAGTTTTACAGTGTCAAGAGCCTTACATATTAACTATTTATAATACAGTATCTTGCAAGGAAATGAAGAATTGATAAAATAGGTAAATAATTCAATATTAAAAATAATAAAATAAAATTAGATGCATTACATTATAACCATATTTATGGAATAATTTATATCTGTACCTACCAATTTTAAAAATAATTTAGATTTGTGATATCCGTTTTCAAGTTACTCCATTTAGTTATATTTTCTTCAAAACTTATTCAGACCTTTCGGTTATCTTATTTTAAGTAGTATATCTTTATAATGATAGGGAATTCTTACAAAAGATATTACCTATGTTGACGCTGACATTAAAGTTTATCTTATATGTTATAGTCACTGTGGACAGCCAGCTTACAAACTTGATAAATATTCGTTCTTTTAGTTTGTAAGAAACAAACTACTTACTGTGACAAAACTTTTATAATTGTAGGCTCATCAGTCATATCAGCTGAATTAAATGCAAGATCAAAACGCAATAGTAGTGAACATTATAGATATGAGTTATTTTAGTTGAATATAACTATATCCTGTGTTGGCAGTTGCTTCTCGTTGTGATGTGGATTTTATATTAATATAATTGAGCAACCTTTAGAAAATACTAAATATTAAATATAGCCTACTGTCGATATTATCATTCTTTTATATTTATTGGACAATTGAAACTTCTGTTAAAAAATGTATTTTGAAAATTATAAAAGTGTTTTCCTAATTGTATGAATTAGATGTAATTATGCATTTTACATATATATATATTCATTGAATGAATTACAAGGATCACTATAATGAACAAAAAAGTCTTTTCTTGGTTTTGTGCTCATACCTTCTCATGAAGTCTAATTTCAAGTGACTTTTATATTATTGTTACAGGTTACTATCACCATTCAAGATCGAAACGATAGTCCCCCGGAGTTCATAAACACTCCATACACAATATCTTTGTCTGAAGATGTCCCACCAGGTTATACAGTGATCACAGTTTCTGTTTTTGATCCAGACACCGAGGGAACCATCTCCTACACTTTGATAAATAATGACCTTCCGTCTAAGTTTCGTTTTGATTCAGAGAGTGGCGTTCTCATTTTGAAAGACCCATTGGATCGAGAAACGGAGCCGACTCACCAGTTCGCAGTACAGGCATTCGACGGGATCCAGACCTCTGAAACCAAGATCACAATAGAGGTCCGTCGAACATCCTTTTCCCTTAAGTTTTTACTCTTTAAAGATAATTGCTCATATTTTTTCTTTTGGAATAGCTATTTGAATTTTTATGAGTATATTTATTTAATAAGGTTTTGTCTTGATTTGATCTGCGAATCAGCTGCACTTTGAACTCTCATTGTAAATAACACCAAGCCAATGTTTACTTAGAAATAAATGACAATTACATGTACACACAAATATTAAATATATACATACACCAACAAATATTTGACAAAGTAGGTTTCGAAAATTTCTAATCAACGAATATAATACCCGATTCAAACTCTAGTTGTTATTTTCAAGCAGAATTTTATAAGTACAAAGAAGTGTAATTACAAAGTAATAAGCATAAATAGTTGTGTTGTAGATTAAGCATTGCACATTAATCATTTGATGCTGTTATAGCTCTTTAGGAGTGTTAAGAAGGTTAAATATGGCTATTCTTTCTAATGCTGATATTTCTTTCCTAGTGTGGGTATTAATAGTTATGATGTATTTATCTGTATCATTATTATAATAAGCGTTTACAACTTTTCTGTGAGTTATAGAAACTCGGTGTCTTCATGTAAATATTCGGTCGCGGTTTGGCCCTGGGGCGGAGCTCTGGATTTAGGAGCTAGCGAGAAGAGTTCGAGTCTGTGAGATATCACAAAAATATTCCCTGCATTTTAAGCTGTGGTTTCGTTATGAGAATGATAGCCAATCCCCTGACATAGATGTTGGTAGGCACGGTGATGTTGACTACCTGCGTTCCCTCTAGTTAGTGGCTAACAATTAGGGGCAACAGCAGGTAGCCTTAGTAGCTTTGCCACAAATACAAAATAGTCTAAATTCGAATATTCTACATGTTGTATGCATTTGGATTTTTTATTATTATTATTTAAAGAGTGACTGAAGGTATTATCTTCGACAAATAATATTTTAGAACGATGTTGTTGTTATCTCAGAGCAATGGTACACAACGGGCTATCTGTATACTCTGCCCATCACGGGAATCGAACCCAGGATTTTAGCACTATAAGTCCAGAAGCTTACCGCTGACCCAGTGGGAGACATTTTAGGACGAAGTGTGATTTCTTGAAAAAGTGATTCGTGAAGTAGTTGCTGCTTAATGACGGGTAATATACATAGTGTTACACATAACACTATATTAAATATAGTTCCCGGTTAGTCAGCGGTAAGTTTATGGTTACAACGCTAACATCTGGGGTTCGATTTCACGTCGTGGAAACAGCGCATATAGCACATTGTGTAGTTTTACACTAAAACAACAAAAATGTAAATTAAGAGACTATACGTAGTGTTATTTCTATAATATTACTAAAACATATTGTTTCAGTTGTTTAAGAAAACTTAATAAGTCTTTATAGTAATCGACAGAGTTACAAAATAACACGCATAATACTGATATCCAAAGCGCAGATAGCCTAGTTACTTTCCGCCAAAAACAAAAACCAACTGATAACCAAACAAACACAAAACTCCTAACAAAACCTATTCCCTAGTATTTCAGATGTACCTATTTTAACAGTAATTAAATACTATTGCTTTCCTACTTGCTTTATGTGTTACAATTCTAACAGTGAGGAGAGTATTATTACATTCCTATATGCTTAATGTGTTAGACTCTAACAAAGATGAAAGTATTATTACAAATTATTTTAAGTAGCAAAGAACTACATAAATTTTGTAGTTACAATTATAGCATTATTGCGATATCAATTATTTGTCTTAAATTAAATTCAGTGGAGCTGCCTGAAATTCAGTATGCATCAATCGGAAAATATAGATTAAGAGAATGAGATATAACTAATAGGTAAAAGATGCATACATTAAGAATCTTCATGATGAACTTGAAAGTATATGAACAAGTCAATAATGCTAAACAGGTAGTATTAACCCTTTCAACACGGGCTCGGTCCGTCGGATCGACCTCGTAACTACTTTGTACTTATTATAGTTTTCATGCTATAACCTTTAAATTAGTAAGCGTATGTTAACGAAATTTGGCAGATTATCAGTTTACATTACAATGCTTTCATATGCAAAATATTAATTCTTAAGGTTTGTTAAGCAACATTTCTCATACTTTGTTTTTTCTTCTCACTTGTTACTTATCCAACATGCAAAGTAATTTTCACTTTAAAGATTAAAAATATTTTTATGCATCAGAAAATTTTTAAATTTCACATGCGAAATATTTATAATGTCCAGATAGTTAACAAACATTTCTAAAGGAAAAGCTTTATATTTTATCTGTTATTTTCACTAATGAGTCTCCACAGATTCGAAAGATTTGACCGATCTCGTAACCAACATAAAAATTAGGAAATAAATATAAATTATGCTTCTTGTGTTCTAGAACGACCACAAATTATAACACAGAAACATAAATGTTTTGACTAAATAGCTTACACCTCATAACATTATACATTTATATATATTTATTATTTTTATTATATTGACTATTTAGCCGTGCCTGTCTAACATTACAGGAATTGTAATGACGTAGCGCACGTGCACTCATGTTACCCTATCCAATAATATAAATATAACCTTTAGTGTTTACAAAGTGACTCTGTTATGGCTGTGTTTTAGTAGACTAGTATTTAGTAAAATACAGTAACATTTCAATTATCATATATTATATATGTATATAGATTATCATTATTTAGAAATAAGTTATTAAACATATTTTTCTTAAAACACAGAAGCAAACAATTATCTCTTCTAGTTACGACGTTTCTACTCATTTGATGCTTGAGGTAGGTTACTAAGCCTTTTAAAATTTCGCACTTGGAGGATATGAAAATAAATTTTTTTTTAGGTTTTATATATACAGTTGAATACCCAAACAATCATAAATTACTCTATCCATATCATAGAATTCCACTATAATTTATCAAGCTTAGTAACTAAGCTGTATTTCGACCAAGTGGTTAGGATGCTGAGGATCACGGGTTCAAATCCCAAACATGCTCGCCCTTTCAGCCGTGGGGGCGTTATAAGTGACGGTTAATCCCGCTATTCGTTGATAAAAGAGTATCCCAAGAGTTAGCCAATGTGTGGTGATGACAAGATTCTTACCTCCAGTATTACAATGTTATATTAGGAACAGCTAGTGCAGATAGCCCTCGTGAATTCCAAACAAAGCCGTATTTCAGTCTAAAAAATATGAAATTTGGAGCAGACTAAATACAAACCTACCTTGCTAGAAATCTTGGTTTGAAAGAACGAGAGGGCCTCCCAACATTTTAAAATGGCTGAGAAAACCACTAGAGGGACATTCTGAGCTATTAATTGATTATTCACATGACAAATATATAAGGAACCTTTCCAAAAATCATAAACGTGTAATTTGAAGCAGTGCTGTATTCAAAAAACCAGGTGACACACAAAAATCGATGTTAAACTGTGTTTTTTAAACATTTACTTCTAAATTAAGATGTATAATGTATACATAATAATGTATATAATGTATAATAATAAATTTAGAATGATAATCCACAGTTTGATACTAAACTTATTGTTTTAAGGTTTTATGAATAAGTTGAATGATCAAAAATTCATAAATTACTATGAATTAGAAAATAAACACCTATGCACACATGTACCAAAAGAAAACTTGAGCGCGCACGTACCAAAATAGGCATCTGCGCGCGCACGTACCCAAATACGCATCTGCGCGCGCGTATACCAAAATAAGCACCTGCGCGCGCATGT